GAACTTCATCCAGGTAGTGACAATGTTGTGCGCGTCGTTTCAGTCAAGACCACATCGGGAGTGATAAAACGCGCTGTCCTAAAGTTGTGTCCGCTTCCAATTACTGACCTTTAAATTACATTTTTCATTTTTCTACCTGTCACTTTGTCATCATGTTTAAGTTTCATTTGACCATTGTAATAAGTGTTTAGTTTGAACTTTCTCATTTTGAAACAACTTACATTCTTTCAAGGCGGGGGGCATGTTAAGAACCTATTAGTTTTCGTTGCTATATGTGAAACCCCGCTATGTGTGAACACGCCAGAGTCACGTGACTATCATGCATCAATCACGGTCCAAGTGCGTGCCAGACCGTTTGTGCAGCCGAAGGGATACCGTCCAGCGCGCCAGTACCGAACTGACCACCACAAGGGAGAGTGCGTTTGACAGTACGAGAGCAAGATACAGTCCACACACGAAGGTGTATAGAGGTTCTATACAAAATTTATAAATTATCTTTACCCATATCCGATTGCATAAAAAGGGAGAAAGCCTCGTATTTTCTGCTTACCGAGTGCTTTGCTTTAACATGAGCAAGGTTGGGAGTCTTCGGAACGACCCTGATCGATCGGGATTCAGTGCATGGTATTACTAGACTAAAGAAGTTGCTAACCTTCTATAGAATGGGTGGCATTTTGGACGTTCTCTAGAGCGGTCTGGTTTCCTAAATGCTTGGACGCCCACGAGCGCCTCCCTTCAATATCAATACCAATATCCATATCCGATAAAAATCATTTTAAATGAATTATAATGATTCTTGACAATGAAACTTTTAAAAGTTGTGTAATATCAATATATACTTTATAATTTATCTTGTTCATATTCTATATAATTCCATTTTAGGGAAATTGTGGAATCTTTCTATAACTGTAAAACAAATAGAGGTTAGAAACAATAATATAAACAATAAGTTTAAACATTACATACCTTTTATTTATTATAGAATATATTAGTTTCTATTTAAAAAACAATCTTGGAGATATATTCTTTATACAATAGAAGATATCTTTACTGAAATTTAACATGTTCCAAAATTTTCTATGGTTAGTGTTTGCAAATTGACGTTTTACCATAGATGTATCTCTTATAGATTCTTTATGTATTCTAAGGTTATAAGTATGCATTGAATAATCTCTCAACTATTAATGACATCACAAATCCTCAACATGCCTCAAGAGTAATAGAAACACACATATTCATTGCGACCTAATAATAAAAAATATTTGTAAAAATTAAGCTTATGTTAGTCTTTTTTTTATTCTAATGTAAAATGTATCTGTATTTTTTTTCACTTCCGATTCAACAGGTTTTGTTCTAGTTGTTGTTGTTGTTTGAAGGAGTGTATGTGTGTCTAAATAAAAAAAACACTCAAGATTTTTTTTATTTACATCAACATCGATAATATTTTTAAAATTAAAAAAAAAAAAACTATGGGATTGATGCGGGCAGAGAGGACGCTAAACTTGCAAAATGTTTAAGTTTTTTTCTGCATTCATCGGAGTAAAGGCGCGCCACTTGTAACTCGCTCTGCAGCAGGGCAATTTTAGTTTCAGTCTCTTTGATCCGGTCCTCGTTTCGCACCAGCTGCGACTCTAAAACCATTTTCAACTGGAACGCTTCGCATACCACCCTTCTTTCTTCGTCGTCGATAAAAGTATCGAACCAACCGGAGGAGGAGGAGGATGAGCCGGAATGCTGCTGCTGCTGCTGCTGAACCGTTTCTTCGCTTTTTCTTTTTTTTTGTGAGGCTTTGGGGGTGTCGTCGCACTTCGACGCCGTTTTGATGGTTTTCTTACTTGTTGTTGTTGCACTTCCGGTGGTGGTGGTGGCGGCGGCGGTGATGACGGTGGTGGTGGCGGCGGCGGCGGTGGTGGCGGTGGCGGCGGCGGCAGTGGTGGTGGCGGCGGCGGCGTATAATGTATGTCGTAGCTGGTTAAAAATTCGTACAACTCTTCGGGAGGGGGGGGGGGGGAGCGATATTTCCTGCTGCTCTATGATGCGCGCCCGACACGACTGTTACATCGACACTGAGACTTATAATACATTTTTGATATATTTTATAAAATAAATATTAAAGACTTACTTGTTAAATAAAAAATTTCTTTATCCAAATAATGTATTTAATTTAATAAAATAATGTATTGTATCAATTATTTGTCGCAAATTCTCAAATTCTATAATCATCACAAATGAAATAAAAATAAATTAGAGGTTATAAAAAATAAAATCACATACGACGAAATATTACAAAAATATTGTATCTTCATTTACATTTAATGAAAACTATTTTAGTCAAAATGAAAATATTCTTTATGATAAAACATCCGATTTTTGTATTGTATTAATTATTTTTCCACAAATTCTTAAATCCTGCAACCATCGGAGACAAAACAATAATAAATTAAAGATTATGGAAATTATTATTACACAAAAATTTTAGAGGTTATGAAAAATAATATCGCATAAAAATTAAAAATGTTATATTAAATACCTTTAATTTGTAAAATGTATTTGTTTCTCTTGGAAATAAATCCCAGTGACGCATTTTTTCACGCAATTGACGACGACATGCCATAATTTAAAAATTCGTCGACATGTACTCATTTTGACATTTTCTACGTTTAACTGTGTTCGCGTTTACCATAGTTTGAAACTCGGAAAGGCATTGTAAAACCACATCAAATAATTCTACAACTGTTGATGACGTCATAAATTTAAAATTGCCATTCATATTAGAATTAAGATTATGTAATATTATTGTTGATTGGATAAATGAAGTAATTATATACAAAGGCATTACAATTTTTGTTGATTTCATCATGATGTTTAGGTATTGTTATTGGAAAATATATTTGAAAGTAATTTGTAATCTTTTACATTATTTTCTTAAAGAAAAAGGAATCTGTAATTTCGAAATTGCTTGATAGATGGTGTAGATTTACGCTTTGTATATATTTGTTTTTCAGCTTGAAAATATAGGATAATATGTAAAATAATTATTGAATTTAATTTGATATATTTTCTAAAATAAATATTAAAGACTTACTTGTTAAATTAAAATTTCTTTATCCAAATAATGTATTTAATTTAATAAAATAACGTATTGTATCAATTATTTGTCGCAAATTCTCAAATTCTATAATCATCACAAATGAAATAAAAATAAATTAGAGGTTATAAAAAATAAAATCACATAAAATTTAAAGATTCTATATTAAATACCTGTTATCTGTAAAGTGTATTTATGTCATCAACGATAATATTTTAAAAATTTCATAAATTACACGATTATATAGGACCAAATATTAGAAAAATATTGTATCTTCATTTACATTTAATGAAAACTATTTTAGTCAAAATGAAAATATTCTTTATGATAAAACATCTGGTTTTTGTATTGCATTAATTATTTTTCCACAAATTCTTAAATCCTGCAACCATCGGAGACAAAACAATAATAAATTAGGGATTATGGAAATTATTATCACATAAAAATTAAGATTGTTATATTAAATACCTTTTATGTTTCTTTATGAAATAAATTCCAGTAATACGTTCTTTATGCGATCATCAACGATATTTTTAGAATCTTGAAGTTTATAGACATGTATGTTTTCTTACCATCATTTGACTGTAGTTGGGTCTATCATAATTTCTAATAATTTGGATGGTGATTTAAAGTAAAAATAACTGAATTTCATTACATTAGATAACAATTTTTAATTAATATAACTTTATGAGACACATTTATTTATCTTTGATTCAAACCATCTCAGTTGAAATGTAACAATTTTTCATGATGATAGTTCCTTGTTTGTATTAATATTGGAGTTTCATATTTACTGAAAATAAAAAACAATAAATTAAAAGACCTGAAAAACAAAAGTATATTCAAAGTTATTATTTTATGAAATTCATTTTAAAATGTATCTTTAATAACTAATCAATGGTAATCCTTATATATTCATTGATAAATTAAAACAATGTTCAATTTTCTTTCTTTCATTATTATAAATTACTAACAATTAAATTTCAGACAAATAATAATCTTAATATGGCAATCAATAATTAATATTTTCATCAGCAAAAATGTATAATCGAAATTTTCCAGGAAATGAAATTTAAAATTGTAAAACTCTACTAAACATAAAAATTCAATCTAAAAATGATAAATATATATATATGATATAAAAGTAACTACAATTCTTTCAATGAAACAGTAATTTTCAGTCGACAAAATTTTATAAATTATCTTTACTCATATCCAATTGCATAAAAAGGGAGAAAGCCTCGTATTTTCTGCTTACCGAGTGCTTTGCTTTAACATGAGCAAGATTGGGAGTCTTCGGAATGACCCTGATCGATCAGGATTCAGTGCATGGTATTACTAGCCTAAAGAAGTTGCTAACCTTCTATAGAAAGGGTGGCATTTTCACGAGCGCGCCCCCCTTCAATATCAATACCAATATCCATATCCGATAAAAATAATTCTAAACGAATTATAATGATTCTTGACAATGAAACTTTTAAAAGTTGTGTAGTATCAATATATACTTTATAATTTATCTTGTTCATATTCTATATAATTCCATTTTAGAGTAAATTGTGGAATCTTTCTATAACTGAAAACAAAGAGGTTAGAAACAGTAAATTAAATTTCAGTCAAATAATAATCTTAATATGGCAATCAATAATTAATATTTTCACAGCAAAAATGTATAATCGAAATTTTCCAGTAAATGAAATTTAAAATTGTAAAACTCTACTAAACATAAAAATTCAATCTAAAAATGATAAATATTTTTAAACATTATTTAATCATTCACCTGATATTTCCTTAATATAAAAGTAACTACAATTCTTTCAATGAAACAGTAATTTTCAGTCGACAAAATTTATAAATTATCTTTACCCATATCCGATTGCATAAAATGGGAGAAAGCCTCGTATTTTCTGCTTACCGAGTGCTTTGCCTTAACATGAGCAAGATTGGGAGTCTTCGGAACGACCCTGATCGATCAGGATTCAGTGCATGGTATTACTTGACTAAAGAAGTTGCTAACCTTCTATAGAAAGGGTGGCATTTTGGACGTTCTCTAGAGCGGTCTGGTTTCCTAAATGCTTGAACGCCCACGAGCGCCTCCCTTCAATATCAATACCAATATCCATATCCGATAAAAATCATTTTAAACGAATTATAATGATTCTTGACAATGAAACTTTTAAAAGTTGTGTAATATCAATATATACTTTATAATTTATCTTGTTCATATTCTATATAATTCCATTTTAGGGTAAATTGTGGAATCTTTCTATAACTGAAAAACAAATAGAGGTTAGAAACAGTAATATAAACAATAAGTTTAAACATTACATACCTTTCATTTATTATAGAATATATTAGTTTCTATTTAAAATACAATCTTCGAGATATATTCTTTATACAATAGAAGATATCTTTGCTGAAATTTAACATGTTTCCAAAATTTTCTATGGTTAGTGTTTGCAAATTGACGTTTTACCATAGATGTATCTCTTATAGATTCTTTATGTATTCTAAGGTTATAAGATTGCATTGAATAATCTCTCAACTATTAATGACATCACAATCCTATCGCGGCCCAGATTGTATGGATTGGTTCGTCCGACAAATATCTGACTTATCGTAATTTGTCCAATCGAAATTTATTGATATCGTACCCATGGAAGGGTCAATTACTTTCTCTCAAGTTTCGACGCATTGTCATATTTGCGAAGAGCCTTTCTCACCGAAAGACGTCATTGTCCGCGACCACGACCATTTTACCGGAAAATTCAGAAATTTCGCCCATCAGGCTTGTAATTTAAATTTTAGAAAATTGTTCATAGTGCCCGTAGTATTCCAGAATCTCTCAGGGTACGACGCCCATTTTATCCTTAGGGCCTTGGGCAATAAAGGGTCTTTAAGTTTGGTTCCGGTCAACAAGGAAAAATACATATCTTTTACCTATTACGAGCCCGTATATAAGCTAAAGTTTCGATTTATAGATTCGTTTAGATTTTTGGGGGCGTCTCTAGACAATTTGGTAAACAGCGTCGACAAAAATGAACTTTACATATTAAAAAAGGAATTTTCTCACGTTCAAGACGAATCAAAACTAAATTTATTGTCGCAAAAGGGTGTATTTTGTTATGATTACATAGACGACTACGACAAATTAAACGAAACGAGTTTACCGCCCATCGATGCTTTTTACAATAAATTAAATGAGTCCGACATTAGTGAAGAAAAGTATGCTCATGCGCAAAAAGTCTGGTCCGCGTTTGAAATTAAAAACTTGGGCGTATATTCGGATTTATATTTGAAAACGGACGTTATTCTTTTGGCCGACATATTTGAAAATTTTCGAAAAAATTGTATGGTGACGCATATTTTGGACCCGGCATGGTATTTTAGTATACCCGGATATACGTGGGACTGTATGCTTAGATTCCCAAAATGTCGTTTAGAACTGATGCGTGACATTGATCAGATTATGTTTATCGAACAGGGTATACGGGGTGCGATTTCGGTGTGCGTTGGCAGGTACGTTGAGGCAAACAACAAGTACATCTCCAATTACGACCCATCAAAGCAATCAAATTATCTCACATTTTTTGACGTTAACAATTTTTACGGCAAGGCTATGTCAGAGCCTCTTCCCTACGGCGGATTCACATGGTTGACTCGGGAAGAAATTGCCTCCCTTAGCATTAATAATGTTCCAGAAACGGGCGGGGTAGGCTATATTTTGGAGGTAGATTTGCAATACCTTCAGAGTTTACCCCATCTACATAAAGATTTCCCATTTTGTGCCGAGCCTCGCGTGCCTCCCAATTCAAAATTACCATAATTGATGGCAACCCTTTTTAATAAAACCAATTACGTTATACACTATCGAAATTTAAAGCAAGCTTTAAAACACGGACTCGTTCTTACTAAAATACACAGAGTATTAAAATTTAGACAATCTTCTTGGCTAAAAGAATATATCGATCTAAATAATCACTTACGGACGCAAGCCACTACCACTTTTGGTAAAAATCTTTTTAAATTATTTAACAACGCGGTGTTCGGAAAAACTATGGAAAACATACGTAAGTCGTAAAATTTGTTAGAAAGTGGGAGGGTCGTTACGGCGCTAAAAATTTAATTGCTAGTCCCCGATTTCACAATAGAACTGTACTAGATGATAATCTAATGTTGGTGAACTGAAAAAATCGGAACTTATTTTTAACAAACCCCTTTACATTGGAATGTCAATTCTGGATCTATCTAAAATTATCATGTATTCGTTTCATTACGATTACATGCTACCCAAGTTAGGTCCGGAGAAATGTAAAATTCAGTATATGGACACGGACAGTTTCATTTACAACATCCATTGTGATGATGTATACGAAGAGATTATTAAGTCCAATTTAAGCAAATTCGACACGTCCGACTATCCCATTGATAATCCATACAATATGCCTCGCGTCAATAAGAAAGTACTGGGTCTAATGAAGGACGAGGCCAACGGTTCAATAATTTCACACTATGCCGGACTAAGATCGAAAATGTACACTTATAAAATCTTAAACGGAAAAACTGTAAAAAAATCAAAGGGTGTAAACTACCAGATTGTTAAAAATTAAATAACTTTTGAAGATTTTGTTGATTGCTTGAAAAATTTAAAAGAAAAACATGCTACTCAACGAACCATTCGTTCTTATACGCACGAGGTGTTTAGTATCGAACAAACTAAAGTGGCGCTAAGTCCGTATGACGACAAAAGATATCTTATAGCAAACACGTTTGATACTCTTCCGTGGGGACATTACAAGGCACTGTAATTTTTTTTTCTCTGTTGTAGACAATGGCCGAATTGTTGTCGTTGAAAGATCTATGTATAAAGTCAATTAGTGAAAACGTTCATTCTGTTGCACATTTTCTCTGCTTGAAACGACCTTACCGAGGACGCTAACGCTACAGATAATGGAAAAATATCCCGAATATAGGCGGAAATATATTAATGCACTCGCTGTCAAATGTGAACGACCACCTCCACCAGATTTGAGTTTGATAACCCGTCAAAAGAAAGTATCGTTGGCACATCGAAATGCCATTTTAGTATGGCCAAGGTATACAGACCATCCTTTTGAGCATTATAGCTATTATTTATGGGAAAAACACTATATAGTAATGACCCGAACATTTCTGTTGATGGTTTGTGAATCTTGCAAAGACGCTTTTATAACTTTTGAAAAAAAATCAAAAATCAAATTTGATTTTTGCGATTATCGACACATACCTACCGTCGAAGCCTGTGCATTAATATACAGGGTTTTTCACTTAAAACTCCGCACGCCAATAACTCCAAAACGAAAAGAAATATTTAATTTATGTAAAACGTAGTCAAAGTGTGGGGTCAAGTAGATATTTCCTAAGGTTTAAAAAATTCGACGCCTGCAAAAAGCTGGGCGTCGCGACGCGTCGAAAAATTATTCGATTGCAGAGACTTTGGAAATACGCGCATACAAAAGTACATATTATTTAAAAACTTTTTTGTTATTTACTCAAACTTATTTACTTTACCCGTTTCTAAGTTATACCGATTTAAAGTAAACATTTCTTGATTAATAAAAAATGTGATTAACGCTTATTTTTACAAGTATGCCATGAATGTTAGTTCCTATGGCAACCATTGTTATCGCAGTTGTTTTAAGTGCAATTACAAACAATAGATTTCAACTATTTTAGTATGATTTTATTTATTATTTTTTATCGATTTATTTCTGATAATATGATAAATAAATGAAAAAACAGTAAAATACCTACAAGTTAATAACCAAAATTATTATTGCAATTAACTACATAATAAGACACTTCAAAAATTTTGTTCTGCTCGAACACAACTATCAAAAACTTTTAACAGATGAGATTGGGTCACTTGTAGGAGAATCCTTCTTGTGATAGCGGCACACGCTGCACTAATTTTGTTAATGAGATCAGCCAAATCTTCGATAGGTTCTTCATAGATAACGTTTTTTAGGTAGCCCCAAAGAAAATAATCTGGTGGTGTAATGTCCGGGGACCTCGCCGGCCACCTTACCGGTCCATTAGTACCAAACCATCTATTGGGATATTCTCGGTTCAAATACCTCGTTACTATTTGAGCATTATGTGCAGGCGCTCCATCCTGCTGTAGCCACATATTCATTCTAGTGTCAAGAGGCACTTCTTCTAATAGTTCCGGAAGTGTAGTTTGAAGAAATCTTAAATAGCGATCTGCATTTAAAGTTCCTTCGTAAAAGTAAGGTCCACTAAGGAATCCATTTAATATGCCGCACCAAACATTGATACTAAAAATTCGTGGGTTACCTCTTTCTGTAATCCAACGAGGATGGTTTTCGGATCAAAAACGACAGTTGTGTCTATTAACGATTCCATTATTTTGAAATCGACTTTCGTCGCTCCATAAAATTTTCGAGAGAAAATTTGCATCTTGGCTATACAAATCGGACAATGTTGCTAAGAATACATTCTTCTAGCATAATCGCCTGGTTCTACTTTATGAACTAGTTTACTTTTGTACGGGTGAAAAGAGTTTCTATGTAGAATTCTCCACGAAGAACTTATGGTAACACCCGTATTTTCTTTTATCTCTGATAGGGATATCTTGGGGTTATTATCAACCTGCTGAATTACAGCAGCAGTATTTTCATCATTTGTAGCCGCCCTGTTTCTATCTCTTTTAGGTTTTATGGAGCTGCCATATTCTCTTAAGTTTTTACATAAACTTGAAAAGGTTTTTGCATCGGAGACTCTTCTATGCGGATAACGCCGTGCGTAAACTCTTTTTGCTTCTCTACAATTGCATCTGCATTGTCCAAATACCAGTAACATGTCTACTTTTTCCTCATTGCTAAATTGCACTATTTTCACATAATAATTCTTAGTTTTTTTTAAACCGAACAAATTTGGATATTTCTTGTGTCAAAATGTGACAATTTTTTGATACAGCAATAACAACTTACGTTTGTAATTGCACTTAAAACAACTGCGATAACAATGGTTGCAATAGTAGCTAACATTCATGGCATACTTGTAAAAATAAGCGCTAATCACATTTTTTATTAATCAAGAAATGTTTACTTTAAATCGGTATAACTTAGAAACGGGTAAAGTAAATAAGTTTGAGTAAATAACAAAAAAGTTTTTAAATAATATGTACTTTTGTATGCGCGTATTTCCAAAGTCTCTGCAATCGAATAATTTTTCGACGCGTCGCGACGCCCAGCTCTTTGCAGGCGTCGAATTTTTTAAACTTTAGGAAATATCTACTTGACCCCACACTTTGACTACTTTTTAGATAAATTAAATATTTCTTTTCGTTTTGGACTTATTGGCGTGCGGAGTTTTAAGTGAAAAACCCTGTATATGGTATACCAGAGTCAGAGGAGTTGGTGTGAAAGTTGCTATTCCGAAATACACTTTGAATTAGAACCCGAA